TAGTCAAAAAGAATTTTTGGTACCCAAAGTCATAAATAAAGATGAACTCGTAACTTAAACTGGTATTTTAAAAACGTAAAGAGTTTATATTTATTAACAAATTACTATGCAAATATATAAATATATTAACATATAATACAAAACTAATATATGTCTAATTAAAAAGCTTAATATTTGTTCATAAAATTTTTTATAATTAGTTTACTTTTTTTATATTTTGGAATGATTTTGTATAAAAAAAATATTCAATAACGCATTGTTTTGTTTAAAAATATAGCGTAGAATAGAAGGGTCTTTAGATAATTTTTTAACATGCATTTAGATATTTAGTATGTAATAAAAAATAATTTATAATGTAATTTAAATTATAATTTTTTAATGATGATTAATAGTATTTAATATAATAATTTAAAATTTATATACATAATATATATATATATATATATATGTATAATTTTATGTGTGTTAGATGATGTGGCTGGGGAAGCCTTGGAGATAGGAATTCGGGATGGCCAGGCTTCTAAAATTTGACTTGATTTTGAGACTTGACCCTTGTTTAAAAGACTTAGAGCTAGGTTTGTAAGCTCTCTTTTAGAAAAAAAATTTAACATTTTAATTTAAATAAAGTATTTTAAAATTTAATATAAAACAAATGAAAATCTTACATAAAATTTAATAAAGATATAAAAGTATAAATTTAAGATGAAGATTAAAATCTTCACAAATATAAATCCAAATCCTCATCATCATCATCTAAAAATAGAGTACTAAATCCCTCAGATGTAAGTCTACTTGTTGAAGATAAAAGTGGATATTCAATGTCAATCATCTTTACAACTTTTTCTTTACTTACAATAAATATTAATTAAATTACATCATTATTAATTAAATATCTGTATTAGATCCCTCATATGTAGGGCATGAATCGTGAGGTAGAGATGAGGAATGAGGGCATGAGGTTGAGTGGTTGACTAGCTAAGGGTGTGAGGGAGAGATGAGCGAGGAGAAGCAACAAGCGATTGCTTAATTTGAGTTCTTCAATCTTTAAAAAGTTGAGGGAGCTTAAGCCTTAGCAAGATCCCTTTTTCAAATGCAGCATTCCACTTAAAAATTTAAAAAATTGATAATAAGATAACAAAGCTAGAAAGGCTGCTTAGGCTTGGGCCTTTTTTTACAAAGCTTATTAAGGCTGGGCCTTCAAGCTCAGTTACTTTAAAAAAATTAATTTTTAAAACACAAACCTTTATTTAAATAAAATTTCTAAGCCTATTATTGGGGTTGTTTAGTCTCATTTAGGTAAGAATACTCAAATCCACCATTCCCCTGATATTGCAAAATTAATCATAGGATTGAAATTATCATTGACCAAAATGCCCAGATCTAACCCCTCTCATGCACCATAGAATTTTTTCTTAGACATGTTTACCGTGGATGATTCCGGCGACGACTTCCTCTCACCATCGACAACTTCCTCCTTTGCTGGCATCGCAAAGCAAATAACAAAAGCACGAACAAAAGCAACAACGATGGGTGAGCAAGATTCATTTTCTTGTTTCAGATTAGGCAATGTGTAAGATTGATATGTTTTCAGACATGATGATGGGTGAGCAAGAACAGAAGCAACGACAATGAAAGGTTGCAATGGGATTGTCTTCTTCCTCCCTTAATTGTGCAGATGTATATGTTTTCAGATTTGATTTGGTGTTAGACTTGCATTTGAGAATGTTTTCTTACTCCTTTGTCACTCATCGCCTTCTCCTATAGCTTCCCCTCATCCACCGCCGGGAAGCTCCAGATCTGAAGTGCAGAGCTCCAAATCTGCCGTTTCCTCCCCTGAGTTGTGCGCTATTCATCTTGATGATTGTATATATTTTTAATAATAAAGGGCATTATGGTATTTTGATCATTTATGATGAATTAGAAAAAAATTAATATAAATATTCCCTCCAAATATTACTTCATACCAAACATATTTTTAAAGTCTTAATCCCAATTTCAGTCTCAATCTCAATCTCTCAAAATTCATATCTTTGTACCGAACTTTGAGTTTGTGTTTACTTCGTTTTTACTAGTGAGGTGAATTGTTTTTTTTTTTGGGCTGTAATCGTTAACTTGATTGCGATTTTGGCAACAATGCTCATACTTGCATTAGATATGGATCATATGTAGTGAAAAATCGTGTAGTGGATGGAAAGTAGAAGATCCTAATCATGATTTTTTATCTAATGACTAGTAAGAAATAGGCGTGTAAAAATATTCCTAATTTGCAAATACACAATCATATTTTTATCCAAATTTTTAATAAGTCTGTTAATAACTAATTTGAACAAAATAGATTTTAATCGAAGGGTCCAATTTAATATTAGTTTTTTTTATAAATTGACTATTTAAATGTATTCTAACAGTTTATAGTTAATATTAAAATTTTTTATAGTACTTATAATTCTTTATTTTGATAAATACAAAATACAAAATAAAGATAATATATCTAGCACTTTTCAAAAAATATTTTTTTTGAAAAATTACAAGGTCAAAATTTTAAATATGAATTAAAATTAAATCTAAACTATATAAAGTACACTTGGTTAGTCAATTTATAAAAAATAAAAAATAAACATTAAACTGTGTCATTCAAATAAAATTTATATTATCTAAGTTAGTGATTAACAAACTTATTAAAAATATAATATTTTTTATAAATTTTTATTTTAAATAAAATGTGACTGTATGTTTGGTTCAAATAAAATTTATATTATCTAAGTTAGTGATTAACAAACTTATTAAAAATATAATATTTTTTATAAATTTTTATTTTAAATAAAATGTGACTGTATGTTTGCAAATGAAAAATCTTTTTATGCACATATTTTTTTATTAGTTAGTAGGTAAAAATTCATGGTCGCAATTTTTTACTTTTCAGCTATTACACGATTTTCCACTGTACATGATTGGCATCCTACTTGCATCTAATTTATGATCAGGGAAAATGAATTCCTGCGTTAATTTAGGGAGCAATTGACTATATAAATAAACGATTCTGATTTCACTGAATTCTGATGCCATATGAGACAACCCCGATATTTTAAGATTTTTTTTGCCTGATGTCTGCATCAATCCGTTAATTTACATTTATCAATGTTTCTTTGGATCCATGTGATTTATTTTCCTTTGTCCTTTTGCTATTTAATTTCACAAATTTTCAATATTAATTTATAGAGTACTGATGAGCATATCCACGATCCATAGTTCCACACAATCCACAGGATCCGTCTTACTTCTACAAACATTTCAAATTTTCAATGCCATCGAATCAAATCCATAATTTAATTTTAGATTCCCTTAATTCATTTAGCTGTATTTTTTTTTACAGTTGACAACTGTTTTATTAAAATACTTCCATTAATTACTTTATATCTTCAATCACCGTCGCATGAGTCAGGAGATCAGAATAAAAGATCTGTGAGCCAGCCTTTTTTTTTTTTGGATAAAATAATGCGAGCCTGCTTTTTATCATCACAAAATTTTCAGTGACTTTTGTGGATATATCCGATGTTATAAAATTAAAATAAATAAATAATTTAATATTTATTATATTTTTTATTATAATTTATTTATTATATTTGTTAATAATTCACTGCTATATATTAATAATAAATATTTGTAAATTTCAAAAATTTTAATAATAAACTTTAGTATATCAATATGAACTGATTATACTTTTAAATTTTTAAACATTTAATTTATATTTTTTGGATACAAATATTTTTATGTTAGTAGGCTAATTTATGCAAATTTTTATTTAAGAATTAAGCATGAAATATGAGGCTGACTCTTAAGTGGATGCACAAAACTTACAAAAGACGGATTTTAAGGAAAAAAAATGAAGAACGATGACCGCTAAGAGACAAAATCAAACAAAGATTTTAACCTCCATACGAAAGTCTAAAGATGAATATAGCTGTAATTATAATTTTTATTGTTTAAGAGAGCTTGACTTGTTCCCTTACAAATTGCAATAATAATTTGGCACATCACCATCGTAATCTAGAGGGTACAAATTTATTTAGATCAAACTTTAAATATCATATTCTCTTAAAGAAATGCATATAATTAATTCTGATTCTGACATTTTTTGAGAGGATTTGAGTTGGCTCGTCAGGTTTGATCAAAATTTTCAACTTTATATACATATAGAGTTGCAAATGTCAATAATTGGGTTCAATTTAGTCAAACTTATTCGAATCAAGTTTGAAATATCCTACATTCTTAAAAAAGCAGGCCCCAGCCTTGATTTTTTTTGAGAGGGTTTGGATTGGCTCATCAGACTTGACTTGAATTATTGGCTCTAGTCATGGGCAAAATAAAAAAAGTAATCAATAATAATATTAAAATCAATAAATTATAAACAGTGCTACTAATTTTTATTATAGATTTGATATTATATACATCAATAACCAATATCAATAATTATATTAATATCAACAAAAAATACCGCCATTACCGGGTGCGAATATACTAATTATTTAGGGGCGTATCATATTATGAAATTCTCTGACACCATGGGCATCTTACTTCCACTTGTCTCTGTAAAGGCTAAAATGACATTTACAACCATGGAAGTAACATAATGTAATAAAGAGTATTGCATTTTTTATTAAAAATTTAAGCCGTTTAAATTAAATTTAAATCATGAAATCTAATTTAACGACTGAAAAGAAGGAAAGCCAATTCTTAATAAAAAAAACGTTGAATAATAAATAAGATCTCTTAGAATGTTTTTCTTTTCAATAAAAAGGATAAGAACAAAGCCCCGTAAGATTTAAATATATTTTAAAGTAATTTTATATTCAAGTTTTAATGACGCTTTTGTCCTTTCAAATTGACTTTCTTATCCTTGGATCCTTACTAAGATTTTCGAAAATGAAGGGCCTTTATCAACATTAACTTACTTTACAGGGCCCATGAACGTCATTTCCCCTATAATCCTCGGCCGCTTGCCTTTTCACCAGTGTCCACACTCGCATCCTCACGCCAAAAGCATTTGCTGGATTCTATACCTTGCTTGTGACGATACACAAGCTCTAGCACTCACAGGCGCAGAGAAACAAAGAGAAGAAGACCATGGTAAAGGATCGGAAAATCGGTGTCGCCCTCGACTTCTCCAGAAGCAGCAAGAACGCTCTTAAATGGGCTCTGGACAATTTGGCCGATAAGGGCGACACCTTTTACATCATCCACATCAATCCCAATTCCCTCGATGAGTCCCGTAACCAGCTTTGGGCTCAATCCGGTTCTCGTGAGTCATTTTCTTACGCTTTTTCTTAGATTTCCTTTTACTTTCTTTTCATCCCACCGATACTTCGATAGTTCAATTATCGGAGCCAACTCGCGTTCCATACGTATCTCATACCTGTATTTTTTATGTATACATTTTCCGTAGTTGTGCTTCTCAGATCTAATCTATGAATAGACTAGTGTTTTGTCTGACAAGTGTTTGGCGTTGAACTGTGCACTGACGTAAGATATTTGGACATTTCACCTTGTGCTCATCGTCTTGGATTGGATCTGATTTAATTTAACCTTTTCTTTTCTTCCAGCTCTTATTCCTTTGACTGAGTTCAGAGAGCCAGAGATTATGAAGAAGTATGGTGTTCAGACTGATATTGAGGTTCTTGATTTGCTTGACACTGGTGCTAGACAGAAAGAGGTATATTTTCCTCCCGTGTTTTCTTTCTCTTTTAAAGTTGATGGTGTTAAATATTTGACCCTGGAATTCTCTGGCTTATCTAATTTTCGGTACTAGTGAATGTAATCACGGAGCATTCTTTAGTTTTTCAGGAGCAAAATTGAAATATGCTTTACAGCTTCTTGCTTAAATTAAAACTTCAGGGTTTAAGATCCTGCAGATTAAATTGTGGTGCTTATTACTAATTAGTAAAGTTGAGTTATAGGTGAACATTGTGACAAAAATATACTGGGGTGATGCGAGGGAGAAACTTCTGGATGCCATTGAAGATCTGAAGTTGGATTCGCTGGTCATGGGAAGCAGGGGCCTTAGCACTCTCAGAAGGTTCGTGCTTTTCCAATTCTTTGATAGTTGTGTCTCAAACAAGTTAGCGATATTATTTCAGTCTTTCACGTCGTGATGTGTGTGAGGAAAATCCACTTACGTATGGGGGACATTGATTTTTTCCTCTGGATATATCCTAGCTGTTCATCCGTGTCATTGTAGAACAGTCAGAATCATCAATTTGATTTTGAAAATTTATTGATTGGGCCAACATTAATTATTTTTAGAAAATTATTGTAGAATAGTCAAAATATTTGTAAGCTGATGCAAAGGACTAGAGAAGACCAAAAATATAGTTTGCTTTCACCAGAATACCCTTTACAACTCACTAACAATCCCTCTGGTATTGCTGACTTTAGTGCACTGCTTATTTTCAATGGTTTTAACATTATTGCAACAACTAAGATTATTTCTTTAATATTAACAATGAGATATTAGTATATAAAAAATTATAGATAACTTTCTCAATCTATAAGAATAAATAGTAACCATTTGAAGAAATAACTGTCCGAGTATATTTGAGAGCTTTCAGAATTTTACCAACATCTTATTATAGTTATTAGAAAAAAGTTGTCGTAGTGAAGATAAAATGGTTAGAATGAAGTTATTATTTGAAAGATTAGTTAGCGTCTCATTTATCAAAAAATATTTGGGAAATAGTGGATCACGCCATATGGGTCATTCAGCATTTCACATAGCTAAAGATGTGAATGTGTTCTTGGTTCCTATCGGGCTGGGTTGATTTGATGATAATGATTTTTTGCCTACTTTATCGATGAAAATATCAACCAACCAGACAAACCTCTCAACTATTCTGTGGGAATTAAGAGGGCCTTCCGTGTTAATGTATTGTGATGTGGGTCTAATGATAGAGTTTTTGGGTTGGTTGATTCGTTATTAAAACAGGATTATATTGGGAAGTGTCAGCAACTTTGTGATGACTCATGCTCCTTGCCCGGTGACCATCGTGAAGGATTCAAGCAGTAGCAACTAGTCCTGATGATGAGATTATCTGGAACAGTTTGAAACCTATTAAATCATATTCTATCATGTTGGTTATGTTGAGATTATCTGTCTACCCTAGACTCTTTTTTAAAGAATAATGTAATTCGAGTGCTTCTTTCTTCAAGGATAAAAATCTGTCCATGTAATGTTTGAAGTGTTTTATGTTTAGTCGGTGTCTTGGCAGAAATCCTAGAAAGAGGCGTAAAGTAACAAGTGAATATGATGTCTGGTGTGGCCCTATTTTGCCTTTCAAAAGAGGGAAGTTTCAGACTTTGGGAAGGGGTTGCCGTGGCTATAATCAAAGAGAAGAGGGATAGAAGCACAAATTGATGCCTTTTGCTTTTTCCTTGTCTTTTTACGAATGATTCTGCCCAACAAAACCTTGCTCAGCTGAATTCGAGTTCTCCTTAATACTATTTCTGTATGAGAAAAAAGTTATAGCAAAAAGGAAAAATTATAATAGCAAAAATAATGATAAGAAAGGAATAAAAAAGAATCCGAGTGACTGACCTACACCTTCTCTTATTTTTCTAAAAATTACAATCTACATCTCTTTACTAAAAAAAAGTGAAGATATGAAAATTTTAATTTATATATAATATATAAATTTTAGCAAGTCATGTTATATAAAATCTATGGATGGGATGCCATATTTCTTAATATTTACGCATCTTGCAAAAATTACACTGGTTTTTTTAATTTGCAAACATATTTAATTTTCCTAATTTCATTGATTTGTAAGTATATTTTATTACATAGTGGAGTTTTGAAAAGTCAAGAGATTTTATTTTTTTTTGAATGACCAAGGAATTTTTTTTTTGTAAAAATAATTAATTCCCTCGATTTTATTGTTATAAAAAAAATTTGCTCACTACAGTTTATGAAAAGTAAAAAGGAAGAAGGTAAATTCATAAATGTTTCTGACAAGAACAGTGATATTTCATGATTTGATGGCGTTTGTATTTTGTATTCATTAGCATGATAAGCAAGGAGTGGTCATCACCATTTTGGGTGATCTATACCATTCATTCAATTTTAGAATGTTCTATGCTATTTATTTTAAGTTAATTTTTAAATATCTTTAATATTGTATTATTAAAATAAATTTTTTTAGAAATCATAAAAAATTTAATATTAAATATATACTTTCATAGTATATATAGATAGTTAATTTATAAAAACTATAAAAATTTTAATATTAAATTTGGATTGTCTTTGGTGCTCAACAGAGGATAAGCACCATGACCCTTATTACCCTTGATGAAATCTGAATTGTTCAGACTTAAATCTTTTCACTTTTATTTTCACTTTATTTTATATTTATTAAAATAATTTTTTTAATAAATCTATTCACCATCAACTTGGTTAGTACATATTTAATTTGAACTCTCTAATTTAATATTAATTTTTATAATTTTATAAATTGACTATCTATATGTACTTTGAACAGTGCAAATAAAATTTAAGTGATGTAATTTAATATTTAAAAATATTACAATTTTTATAAATTAATTGTGTAAATATATTTTGAACAGTATAGATTTAATATTAATTTTTTTATTTTAATAATATAACATTAAAAATTAATTTGAAATGAATGGCACATGATGAGGACAAATGCAACTTGATGGAAGGAATACAAAATGCATTATTTACATTAGCAAGAATCACTGTTGGGAATGGAATAATTTCTGATGCCATCCCACCAAATACACCACCTTAAGGATCCTATTCCCATCCATGTTGAGCAATGAGCATGAGCAATCACAATTCATGAACCCAGCAGGTGTTACTTTTAATAGGTGCCGTCCAAAATTATATCAAAGGAATCCAATAATTTAATGGTAGGCCAAGAAATATTTAACTAAACAAATTACAAAGTTAATAAAACTTCAATAACTTAGCAGTATGAGTTTTATAAAATCTTCTGCTGCAGCTGATGCTGATGATATCATTTTGATGTCTATAAATAATTGTAATATAATATTTACATTATCTAAATATTAAAATTTTAAAATTTACGGCTGTAAATGTAATTTTCCCAGTATTTAAATCTATTTTTCCAATACCGAGGGGAAAAAATTGATTCTCCTCAACATTTCATTTGCTTCAAGTTCTGATTAAATTCGGCATAGATTTTTTTTTTTTTGGGTATGTAAGTCAGCTTAGATTTTTTTTACCCTTGAGAGCCAACTGTTTTTTTTTTTTAATTAAAAGAGTAGGCACTAATGACCTAAAGTTACAGACAGGATAAAACCCTCAACTTCCTACTTATAGAAAAACTTGTATGTCATTAGGTTATGAGACCAACCCACGTTGTTGTAGGGCTTAAAGACGGAGTTCAACTCTCTGTCATTGGTTAAAAATTTTTTTAAAAAAATAACTTTTTCAGAAGTCAAAGCTTGTTTTGTTCAAGAATTTAACAAAAAAAAAAAAACTATAATTTAGCCCATGTCGTTGGACAAGTAATTGTGTGCTAGAGGAATAAATTATTCTGAGGTTTCACCCACAACTCTCATCAGAAGAATTATTTGTAGAAAAAGAAGACTATGTGTTGCACTCGGTTTGATGAAATTTTAGAGATAGAAAACGAGGGGGGAAAAAATCTTTCATGTGTTCTGTATTTATTATATTCATTGTATTGTGAAAAGATAAAAGTATATAAGATGTCATGACATTCGAAATTTTATACTGTAACATTTAGAAAAACAGAAGAAAAGAAATAAAGAAAAGATAAAAATAAATAAATTTTATATTCAATTTTTATTTCTTTTGTGTTATTTGCCCGATGTTTCACGTCAACGAGAAACATAAAAGTTAATCACACGTCCTTTATAAACTAGAAGGCTGTCCATTATTATTAATTATTCATTTTTCGAAGACCTCACAAGTATTTGAACATGGTTATTTCTTTTTTTCTTTTTTCAAATTGAAAATGGTCATTAAGAAATGCTATTGAACATCCCTTTTTCCCATGTCGACAAACACTGGATTTTTATCCGTTCTTTCACCAAATCCTTCTTTTCTTTTATCATGAAATTGGAAAAGAGAGCTTTTTATTATTTTGTCAAGAACCACAGTCAATGTATATATTTATTGTCGACAGGCTGAAATGCTTATATATAGCCAAGACCGAAGACAGAATAGATTTGAAACACCGATTGAGGGGCATCAAAATAGTATTAGTGAAATGGATGAAATTTTTATTATTGAATGAAACTCTCTAAGAGGCTAATACATGGAAAGGGTACATAATACAGCTTTATTATATTAAGGACATAAAACTCCAAGAGGCAGAGAACAGCATCATCAGTTCCAACGTTGCATCTTATTTAGAAGCAGCAATGGCAGCATAGCGAGCCTTGAAGAAAGCCAGGAGTCTTGCAGGAGGAGGAAGGTTGTCCCTTACCACAGGGTGGCTGCAAAACTCCTGACTCCATCGATGCAGCTTTGGAAACTTGTCATGGCTCAGCAGTTTCAGAGCAGTTGCTTCTTCCACTAATGGCAGCCAGAATGCTATGTAGGATGCTGCTATGTCCACTATTCCTATTGCGTCGCCACCAAAGAACTTGCCTTTCAGCTCCTTCTCCAGATATCCCAGACCTTCTCTTGCCTCTTCAATGGCCTTTTCCCTTTCCTTTTCCTTCACTGTCCATGCTGCTTCCTGTATCGCTGGCAGCACCTGCCCTCCCAATTAAGACCATCTTATCACATTCCAAAATTTATTTACGAGTTTTATGAGTGAATCTTACAATAATTATTTATGATTTGTTAAAATGGGTTAACTAGCGGCCCTGAGATATTAAAGTCCTATTAGGTTATATGGTCAATTTTTTTTTTAATTTGACTATTGACTTAATATTTGAGCATTGTCGTGTCTGATTAAATGTAGGTTTTTTAAAGATGTTTTTTTTTTTCCATATATTTTTGATGGGTTAGACACGCAATCTATTGAGCCCGGCTAGCAATTAAAGTGTGGACTATTAACCTCACTAAAACTTATAATGGGTGGGTCAAGGATTATTACATAGACTAGGCTCTCTCTCAAATCCTAACTTAATCTATACTTCCCCACCAAAAGCCTCATAACTCTCAAAGGATATTGAGAGGAAAATTTATATAGGTTGAAGCATGACTTGGTATTAGGTGCAATTTTATCTTATATCTTGTTCAGTTTCTTATCAAAGATTCGTAACTAATACGTTGACGTTAACTAGATCTTACATCATCATATGAAAGGATCTAGATCAGACATGGGATTTCTCTCTACAACAAGTCAGGTCCACTTACACCCGACACATCCCGACACAAAAAATAATTGACTTGATGCAAAATAAACAAAAGAGAAGGAAGAGAAGAGACCTTATCATCGATGAACCTTGACCAGAAGCGAGCGAGGGCTCTGTGATAAGGGTGGAGAGGGAGGATGGGGTGAGTTTTCCAAGTCTCATCGATGTACTCAAGGATGATGAGGGACTCGGCTATGGGGTTGTCATTGTGAACCAGAACTGGCACCTTCTTGTGGACAGGATTGTATTTGAGAAGCAGTTCGCTTTTGTTCCTGATGTCTTCTTCGAAGTGTTTGTACTCAACTCCTTTCAGCTTCAAAGCTATCTGAACCCTTCGAGCATATGGGCTTCCTCCTGACCCAAAAAACTTCACTTCTCCACATTCTTCTGCCATCTCACTTCTCACTGATACATATGTTGTCTTCTCGGCTCATAAAATGTCCTTTTATAGACCCAATCCTATCTCATATCAATTTCTTATTAAATTATATTATGGAGAGGTCAATGAAGAATGGCATGAAAAAATTAAACAAAATAGAAGAATTAAGTGATACGTATTAACTTTGCGTAGTGTAGGGGAGTGATGTAAGAGATCATACTTTTGCCTATTTGGTGTTTAAAATAAGTACTGGTCCAGTCCATTGTTAGCTTTGTTACCTCACTCATTGGAATCCAGTGCCATTGAATCAAACCATGAAATTAATTTAAAACATTTATTTTCAAGAAATGCTGGCAACTTTTGACTTGAAATATCACATTAAATTCAATCCTATTGAATAATTGATATTTTATTTTTCAACGGCTTACTACTCTTCATACTTCAGAAATATTTTAAATGTAATAAATTAATTTTATTTTTCTTTTCTAAGGGTAGGACAAAATTTCATGGCGAACTATTCAAACAAGAGACAATTTTCGATTGTATTTTTGGATGCCATTCTTCTTTATCTTCATTCTTAAAAATGAAAAATTGCATGGGCATCAATTACTTTTCCACATGTTGGTTAAACGTCAATTTTGGTAGAGAACTTGCACAAGTGATAGTCGCTATTGGCGATAAGGTAACCTCAACATTTAAGAAGAATATGATGTTCAAACTTCGTATACATTACTCAGAAAATGGTTTCTTTATTTTTTTTGACTGAAAATAAGTACTATAATATTAGAAAATTTGTGCAACGAACAAAACCCCCAAGGGGTTAACTCCTTTCACAATCCACCCTCCCATAATATTGGGAAGGTTGATGATGAAGGGAAACAAAAGAATTGATCCTAAGCTGACCTATAATAATCATGTCTTTAAAAAATGTACTATAATCATTACAAAGGAAATTAAAAGAGATAGTCCAATTTCGAAGAGCAAAACTTTGCACTTGGAGAAGGAGATCATGCCAAGGGCTTTCATAAGTTATACCCCTGCCTAAGCAATTAAAAGTATTATCACAGTGGCAATCAATCTCTATTGTTTTGACACCATCATTCCAGCATTTTCCTAGGCCCATAAGAATAGTTCATATAACAGAGTCCCCTAGAGCAGAATCCATCTTTATGCTGCAGCCAAATTCAGGAGATTGATCTTGCTTCCTTGTCACTGCTGCACACATATGTCTTCCTTGTAGCTCTACTTGTTTTAATCAAGTTATGATTAGGATACGGTTGAATTGGAATCACACCAGCACTGCCTCTTAAAGAGTTAGTTGCATATATAAGTTTTCTATCTTGGAGAATTCTAAAAATCATTGTTTCTGCATTAAATTGTTGGGTATGTCTATCATTAGCATTAAAAATGGCATTACATCGGGATGTCCAAATTTCCCAGCATGTGTAAGCAAAGAGGATTTTCCAAGAGATTTGTTTTGTCATTTGATTACCCAGATTACCATTGAGGTTTAGTTTCAGCCATTGATGTATGTTCCCACATGTGAATTTCATCTAGTGATTAAGTGTAACAAGTTGACTCCATCTAATATTTGCTTCTTTGCAGTCTTTGAACAAGTGAATCTCATCCTCTTCATTATCACAACCTTGTGGGCATGTGTTTATTGGTAGTAGACCTCTTCTGTGATGTAGGCTAGCAGTGCGAATAGCACTATGTGCCATCATCCATAAAAAGACTTTCATCTTTTCTGGTACTTGTAGCTGCCATATGGGTTTCCAGTTAAAAGTTAAGCATCTTGGTTGCCTGCATGTAAAAAATCATAAGCAGATCTAATTGTAAATCTCCAATCTCTCGAGTGTTTCCAACTAAAAAATTCTCTCTCACTCAAGCTAAACCTAGGTCTAGTGTGAGTCAGAATATTAACCACATGAATAGGAAGGATACTATTTAGCTTGTGCTTATTCCAATCACCCGACGAAAGGATATACTCAGTCACTTTCTCATTAAGATCAATCAGCCCTAATAAATTAGGAAAAACCTCAAGAATGCTGGAATTAAGATTAGACTAAACATCTATCCAGAAGTTAGTATTTCAAGTCAAGCTCCTTTTGGTGCCCAGGCCTTCCTTGAAAATTTTTCAAATTGAGCATATGCACCTCCAAGTTAGAGAGGCATTTCTTTTCTTCACTATATTAGGTAACAGCCCATCTCCACATTTGTATTTTTCTTTAATTACTTGTACCCACAGTTTTTGGTCTTGCGTAAATAAGTTGCCAACATAATTTCATGATGTAGGCCTGATTTTGTATCCTAAGGTCTTTTACACCCAATCTTCCAAATTCCTTTTCAGTAATTATCTTTTGCCAAGACAGCAGATGCAACTTTTTCACCTCATCTGTGTCTCCCAAAGGAAGCTCTTAACTATACTTTTCCACTTCATCTAGGATTTTCTTTGGAAGAAGCATCGTTGGTATATAATAGCTAGGCAAGGCAGAAATTACTATTTTAATGAGGGTAGTTCTACCTGCTATGGACAACAATTTTCCTTTCCATCCTTGCAATCTTGTCCTAGCTTTCTTTATAATAGGATCAAAAATTCCAACAGTAACACGTTTATAAAGTAAGGGAATGCCAAGGTACTTCCCTAAATCTCCAGTGAAAGCCACTCCTAAGTAAGAACTCAAATCAAGAGCTCGAGAAAAATGGACATTCTTAGAAGCACACATCCTTGTCTTGTTTGTATTCATTTTTTGGCTGGAAGCCTCACAAAAAGAGTTCATATAATTAATCATAACCTCCATTTGAGAGGTAGATGCTTCCCCAAAAAGGACAAGATCATCGGCAAAGAATAGGTGAGAAAAACCTTTGCCATTCTTGAAGAATTTGAAAGGTTTCTAATAGCCTCTCTGAACTTTATCTTCAATAATATGACTAAGCCTCTCCATACATAGAGTAAAGAGGTAAGGAGAAATTGGATCTCCTTGTCTAAGCCCCCTTGATGATTAAATCTCCTTGCAAGCTTCACCATTCCATAGTACTTGAAGCGATGCACTTTTAACACAAGCCATTATCAAATCAACCATGTTGTCATTAATCCCTAGCTTTTCGAGAGTGTTTTTAAGGAAAGGCCACTCAATTTTGTCATAGGCTTTCTCAAGATCAACTCTCATTGCAACATAACCATTCTTACCTTACTTGAGTTTCATAGAGTGAATAATTTCCTGAGCCATAATTATGTTGTCACTGCTTTGCTTGCTAGTGATAAAGTTGCATTGATGTTCTCCAACCACTTTGTTCATGATAGGCTTCAATCGGTTGGTAATGGTTTCCACATTTTCAACTTTGGGAATAAGGATTAAGTGAGCTTTGTTTAACTATCCCAGCCTAGTTGGCTCAAGAAAAGCTTCTTTTTACCAGTTTACAAACAGACTCCCCTACAATTGACCAATACTGTTGGTAAAAGAATGCTTGGATTCCATCAAGCCTAGGTGCTTTAAAACCTTCCATCTCAAAAATAGCTTTCTTAATTTCTTCATCATCCACTTTCCTGTTAATAGCTGGTACTTTCGAGTCTGCAATTGAGGAAAGTTTGAAACTGTATCAAAGATAAAGCTAGAGGAGTTTTTAAATAACTCACTATAGTAAGAGTAGGCAACATTCTTCAAAGCTTCCTTATCTGTAATCCAATTCTCATTCTTATCTTTCAAAGTTAGAATAGCATTTTTCTTTCTATTGATTATGGTACTTGCATGAAAGAACTTGCTATTTTATCTCCCTATTTGAGCCAATTGCACCTGAACTTTTGAAATCATATTAGCTCTTCCTATTGCAAAGTCTTATTGTATTGATCCCAAAGCTCTTTTTCCACCTGTCTAAGATATTATGAATCTCTTATGTATCTGGCCTTTTCAACCCCTTCTATTCTATGAAACAGTTTTCTCTTTTTCGCTAGAATATTTCCTACTCGAGCCTCATTCCAATCAGTAGCAGACTTTTGGAAATTTACAATTTTTTCATTCCAAGAAGATGCTTCCCAAGCATTCTGCATTATAAAATATTAAAAATATCTGATGTATAATTTATAAAATATTAAATTTGAATAAATTACAATACTTTTTTGGTTCTCCATGGCTAAACTAGGTTTTTTTTTTTAAATACAAGTCCAAAATGAAACAATTCTCCGGGGAGAGTTTTTTCAATCTATAAGTGCTTGTTTGGATCAGTGTCTTTTTTTTTGCTACGTTGAATCAGCATTACATCAGTTAGAAGTTTACAAAGTTGGTTTCATTAATTTTTTTTTAAAATTTAGATTGTTTTTGTAGTCAAAAGCGGTTTGAGACCTAGCTTTAGAATGAGAGGCAATTGTTTTCTTCTTTTATAGCCAACCACAGTATAACTCTTTTGTATCTAACCATAAACTGTGTTACAGTAAGTGACTTTCAAGAAAATTTTAATTTACAAACATTAGTTTCTTAAAATATTTGTGCAAAGGTTGTTCAGTCACACAAAATGTTTGAATATTCAGACCTCTCAACCTAGCTAAACTACACCTAGCTAGCGCTCCGAGGTTGTTTGAAGTGTTTCATTCATCAGTAAGTTCAGTGTTTGTTTCAACTATACGAGGAGCTTAAAATAAAGCAAAATAATCCCCAGCTGCAATGATTTGATTCGAGAATTCAAGCAAAGAGCAGATTAATCAGAAAATCCATTACATTTTATGGCTTAACGATTGAAATACCAGAGCCAAACATGGAGAACAGAACAGCTTTTCCTTTATTACACCAGACAATCATTTTCCGGAAAAATTCAGGTCGTCACAAATCATGAACCGTGAGTCTAGGCAGTGCGAGATTTGAAGAATGCAAAGAGTTCATCTCTGGGAGGTAGAGCTTGCTTCACGATCGGATGAGTGGAAAATTCTTGACTCCATTTGTATAGCTTCGGGAATTTCTCAGACGTGAGTAACTGTAAACCTGCAATTTCCTGTAATATGTCCACCCAATAACCGACAAAATTAGCGGCAATATCTACCAGTCCAACTTCGTCTCCTCCGAAGAATCTCTTGTCGCTGATTTCATTCTCCAGCATCTTCAGAGCCTCCATGGCTTCCTCCACAGCCTTGTCGCGCTCCTTCTCCTCGCACCAGAACGCTTTCCATAAAGCAGGCAAGCACTGTAACCCATCACATAAGAAATATTGAAATGCTCTGTTTCACCCATTGAGGGAAAAATAATAAAAAAAAAAAACGAACCTTGTCATCAATAAGCTTGGACCAGAATCGAGCAGAGGCTCTATCAGAAGGGTTTTGAGGGAGGAAGGGGTGGGATTTCCAGGTGTCATCGATGTACTCAACGATGACGAGAGACTCAGAGATGGGTTTAGCGTTGTGAATGAGGACAGGGACCTTCTTGTGAACAGGATTGCAAGTGAGAAGCTCTTGGCTCTTGTTGGAGAGATCTTGTTCGGAGAAATCGTATTGGATTCCTTTCAACTTGAGAGCCAGCTCCACTCTGTTGCTGAAGGGGCTGGGCCATTTCCCTAGCACCTTCACTTGTTCTTCCCTGGCAGCCATGGTCTGCCTGAATGGGATTCAGCTGTGTTGTTGCAGTTTGGGTTATTGTGTTTTAACTTAGAAATGATTTGGTCAACTATGGCGGATTGGATCCTTGGAGTTGGTGGGTAGGTAGTTAGCTTCCTCGCATCTTCGTGCTAAAGTAATTTTAAACTATGACTTCGTTTTTCTCAACGTTTAGTGTCTTCATCCTAAGCGTTGATTTTTCTTTTTTCAAGAATTGGGTGAGGGATTAATGGTTCTTCCAATTTTCAAAAGCCCAGCTCAAGAGCCGTTTGAGTCTGGATTTGATCTTTATGCCCTGAATTTTTCTTTTTGGATTGGTTTGGTTTTAAAGGCAGCACTTGAAATCATTTTAAAGGATTACTTTGATGATTATAGCGGCGATCACCGTTCCATTTATATGCTAAATATTTTAGTGATATTGTAATCAAATAAAAATCTGAAATTAAAAAAAGTTAATCGCGATAGACATGTATAATTGAAAAGATTATTGGATAACAGGGGGAAATTTTATTTTATCCTTTTGCATAATACCATTTTTTATTTATTTCTAGAACATGATTGGAAAGGTGTTTGGTGGTCGGTATATTAAAGGCTTGAGGAAAAATTAATTATTTAATTTTTATAATTTTAATTTAGTTATAACTCAATTTTTAAATTTTAATTTATTATAACTTAATTTTTAAAATATTAACTTAGTTGTAAATTAGTTTCTGAACTTTATCTCCTACAATTTAGTTCTTAAAGTTTAAATCTCTTAAATATTAATTCCTATCTCTTAAAAAAATTATAAAACTTAAAAATATTTTAAAATTTATTATTAATATTTTAAATAAAAAATTAATCATTTAATCCTAGTAATTTTAACTCAAGTGTAATTCAATCCCTTAACTTTAACTTATTATAACTCAATCTTTAAAGTTTTGACTTGGTTATGAATCAGTTTCTGAATTTTACGTCTTACAATTTAGTCTCTTAAGTTTCAACTTCTTAAATATTAGTCTTTATATTTTAAAAAATAAAATTATAAAGATTAAAAAAATATTTTAAATTATTAAATCCTTTTAAATATTAAAATATTTTTAATCTTTATAATTTTATTTTTTAAAATATAGGAACCAATATTTAAGAGATTGAAACTTCAGAAATTAAATTATAAGAGGAAAAGTTTAGGGATTGATTTATAATCAAGTCAAGACTTTAGAGATTGAGTTATAACGAGTCAAAATTTAAGAATTAAGTCATAATTAGGTCAAAACTACAAAAAATTAAATGATTAATTTTTTCTATTTTAAATTATTAAACACTTTTAAATATTATAAATATTAAAATTTCAAATATTTTTAATCTTTATAATTTTTTTAAATATAGGAACTAATATTTAAGAGGTTGAAACTTCAAGGACTAAATTATAAGAGGTAAAGTTTAATGATTGATTTATAGCTGAGTCAAAATTTTAGAAACTGAATTATAATAAGTTAAAATTGAGAGATTGAGTTACAATTTAATCAAAACTATAAAATTAAATGATTAATTTTTTTTTAAATTTTGATCTTGTTATTTCACATCCTATGTATTAATTTGTTTACTTTTATCCTAGCATACTAAATTTTTTATCTAAACTAATTTAGTCAACATTTGTGGGTATTTCTTTAGGGTCCCCCAAACAAATAACACTTTGATATCGGAAGCAAACAAAAATAATATTATTTGATAATGATCTAAATATTCTACTCTTTTTTTCCCCCCTTTTTGTTGGGAGGATAGGGGATTCAAATATTAAGCAATGCAAAGTATGGGCCTAATAAAGCAATGTAGGTCTATTGAAATTATGAGCTTGGGCCGCTCTGAGTGAGTCTACCTAACTTGAAATTATAATTTGTGTCTCACCCGATCAAAATAACCATTCAGCCCATTCTTCTTTCTCGACATGACATTTTTTTCTTAATTCGGTCATGAAAGGGATGGTAGAGAAATAATAACAGAAGCGATATAAAACAAGTATATTATGACTATAAAACACAGGCAATTAGAACGTAAATATTAATGTTGGCAAAAAAAGAGAGAGAGTAAATATTAATAATGACGTGGGTTGATCTGAACAAAGCCCAAATCAAAGCATTTGTGGGCCAAAGGGATGTTAATCTAGTTGGTCGATTGTTACTCCCCCCCCCCCCCCCCCCAAGCAAGGCAAAGAGCCAGTTATTTCTATCAAAACCGAGAATCAAATGGTTTGAGCCACTTAAACATCATTTCAGATTTTAATTTCTGAATATATGTATGAAGAACATTGTTTGAAATAAGACAACCCTATAAAGATACCTTGGGAAATAAAATAATAAAATATGACAAAACTATAGGTTATATGCAACAAAGTTGAGGTCAATCACTATAAATGTTTTTGAAGTATATGATGAAAGATTATTTTTTATTCTTTTTATGAACTTTTGCTGCCTACATATGAAAATTAATTTAGTTAAAAAACTTGAAAGTAGGAGAAAAGGAGAAATTTCTGTTTTTTTTTTTTGGCAACGATAAAATTGTGAACCAAAAGGTGGAAGATGGCATGTAAATTTGTGAGAGCTCGGAGACATAGCCGTGACATTCAAATTTCAAAATGGTAGAGTAGAAATCCCCATACACATCACATGTATACTATAAATATAATACATGCATGGTTTCACATTTAATAGAAGGTCAGCATTCAAAAGTTAAAGAGGGGTACTGTTTTAAATTTGAAAACAAGGAAAACAAAATAAGAAAGCTGACCCTTCAAAAGGAATAAAGAAAGAAAGTAACACTCCAATGTCTTTTGCCTTTAATGCAAACACGAGAATCCTGAGACCTTTTTTTCGAATTCAGACAATACTAACCCCAATTTCGATCAAACTCGTGCTGAGTTTTCAACTTACTTAGGCATCCAAGCAAGATACTGCACTTGTCATTCGAGTTTGTGTATTGTTTTGTGACCCTTAAGCACAACTTTTTTTTTTTTTTAAATTATCAGTTATATATATATATATATATATATTGCATGCAATTCCGGAGACGGTAGGATATTGGCCACTTTATGTCCCAACGGCAACGGCATCAAAAACAGCAAACTTCTTCAAAATTTGTATTTTTATACGTTTCCAATCATTCTGTGCCTTTTTTTAAGATAGCTGAAACTCCATCTAATCTAATTGTGTGATTGAAAATAGGAATATAGAAAATATTGGTGGAAATAAAAAAGAAGAGAGAGAGACTTTATAGTATCAAACTTTAACAGGGAGAGCCAACCCATTTCAAATTCGTCCTTCTTATTAAATATTATTTGCTGTGCTTTTCAACCTCAAAATCAACCTTCTAAGATTCACCCTTCGTAATTCCATTTTGAATATTTCACAAACCACAAAGCATACAGTTTATGCCAATCATGCTTCCTTTCTTTTCTTCAAAATAATTTTTTATTATTTTATCCTTCGTTACGTATGGATGCATAAATATTGCTGTCCTCTCAAGTCTTTAATAGTGATCACCAATAAACCTCATTTAGGTTTGAAGCTTAATTGATTAATTAGTCGTCCCCTCTCTGAAAATATGAAACCATAAAACAATAATAAATCTCATCGGATAGGCATGCTTATAAGTATTATATATATAATCCCCAACGCTTACGAATATACATATATCAAAGAAATTTGTTTATAACTTTATATTTTTATAGTGGTTATATTCAAGCATTATTTAAGTATAAAACTTTATGGAATCCGTCCTATGCATGACTCCCCATCACTTTTTTTTAATCAAAATTGTCAAATATACTAACATTAATTTGTATGCTTCTGATCGTTTTCCCTGCTTTGGACACAAACACATACCTGTATACTAAACTAATTATAAATATGATTGGGTTTAAATGAAACAAAATATTGTTGCAGAGCTTGCCAGTTATTTCTCTGTGTTCTTTTTATTTTTCCTCTTCTGGTTAAAACCGTCACAGTTGTTTATACTCTACGAGTTTCGAATTCCTTTTAGCATAAAGAGTTACTCTGTTTCAGGTCTGTCACGAGGTTAATGGATATGGCAAAAGATTTACAAGGACTTTTGTACAAGCTACACTCACACAATTCTAAAACTCATCAACAAATACAAAATTATATAGAAGTGCAATGGTCTACTGTTTCCTTTTTTTCAAATAAATCGGATTAACGGTGTCAACTTTTGGGTGGTGCTTAACTTAAGCTTGATATATAAGCAAGAAACCAGAGAGAGAGAGAGAGAGAGACCCACAGAAGCCGTGTTCCAGTCGCTCTCGCAGTTCATTAATTATGGACAGTACTTTAATCCAACGCCAATATCATCTGAAGCATTGTGTTCCCTTATCAAGGCTTCGAACATCCACTACCGCCTATCAAAACCCGTTTTCCAATTTGGGTTTCTGGGTCTCCAAAGTCTCCGGTGGTTTTTGCTTGAAGAGCGTTCACTATAACGACAACGATATGCCCGTCAAAGACTCTGCTTTCTGTGTTTCCTCACCTGACCATGAAGACGATGAAGAAGGTGAGGTTTCAAAAATGGGTGCTTTCATTCACAAGAAAGAAGCTCCCAATCAGAAAGAAGAAAAAGACAGAAGAAATAGAGGCAAGCTTGAAGCTTTTGCCAATCTGAGCGAAGATAATAGTCGCGAGAGCAGTTCTAACTCCGATATTTTTTCCTCGACGGGAAATGAGGAACAGAGTCGGAGTAGTTCGGAGGAGTCATCGTCGTCATCGTCGCCGCCTTCAGTGAAAAAGCCAGTCCAGAAAACTCCTGCTCCAGAACTTGCCATTTCCCGTGCCATTGATCATGGCGACAAAATGCGTTTGCATATAAACAAACAGGACTCGGAATTATCTGGTACATTTCAGTTCTTGTGTATTCTTTAGCAATCTTATTATTATTTGTGCAGCGTACATGCCTTTTCTGATAATTTTATTCTGATTGTGATTTTTAGAGATAGAGATGATGAAGGAAAGGTTTGCGAAACTGTTACTTGGCGAAGACATGTCTGGCTGCGGAAACGGAGTGGCTGCAGCGTTGGCCATATCAAATGCCATAACCAACCTTTGTGGTAACCACATGAAACAATTCCTATGTGTCTGTCTCGATTGATGTCCAAATCAATGAAAATGACTGCAATTTCTTTGTTCCAATAGGTTATTAATAGGATCCTCTCAAGTCACTTATGAAATGACAAATCAGAAGTTGATGTTATATTCGGATTATTACTTATTCCTCATTTCCTTTTCGAGTTTGCAGCCACACTGTTTGGGCAAATTCTGAGACTAGAGCCTCTACCTCAGAAGAAGAAAGCAATGTGGAGAAGGGAGATGGAATGGTTTCTTAGTGTCAGTGATCATATCGTTGAGTTGGCTCCTATTTGGCAGACTTCTCCAGATGGAAGTAAGGTGGAGGTACAGCTTCCCAAATCACAATCAATCTCTTTTTGAATTCCATTTGGGCTTGGCCCTAACTTTTAAAATTAATTGGACCTCAGATATGGCCTAGCAACATTTATATCCATGGTTCATCCATAATCATAGCAATAAATGACCATGTTTTCTGTTTTGTTTGTTGATGAAACAGGTCATGGGTAGCAGACCTCGCTCGGATCTTTATGTCAACCTTCCAGCTTTACGTAAACTAGATAACATGCTTCTTGTAAGCATATATCCATAACATTCACTTTCATTGTACATAATTGTGTAGAAATAAAGACATTTTTATTTAATGAAGGTGTTTTTGCAGGACATATTGGACAGTTTTGTGGATACAGAGTTCTGGTACGTGGACCAGGGGATTGTTGCTGCCTCAGATGGTGAGGATACGTCTTCTGCTTTAGGAAGAAGACTTCAGCGTCATGAGGAAAAATGGTGGCTTCCTGTTCCCCGAGTCCCTCCTTCTGGTCTCCGTGAACGTGTCAGAAAGAAGTTGCAGCACAAACGAGATTGCACCAACCAGATATTAAAGGCTGCCATAGCCATCAACACTATTACTTTGGCTGAAATGGATATTCCTGAGTCATACCTGGAATCTCTTCCAAAGGTATGTACTTATAACTTACAACATGGTTTTATATGCGTTGCAGAATTATAAGTCGTGGATGATCAAATTGCTGATCCAACGTTTTTATTTCAGACTGCACGAGCCAGCTTGGGGGACCTTATTTATGGGTACATAGCGTCGGATCAGTTTGCTCCGGAGAGTGTGGTAGATTGTCTTGATGTGTCCTCTGAACATCAAGCTATGGACATTGCTAACCGAGTGGAAGCTTCCATTAACATTTGGCATAAAAGGGCCAATTCAAAACCTGTGAACGGCACAGCCAGATACAGTACAAAGACATCTTGGGAGATGGTCAAGGATCTGATGGTGGATGGAGACAAATGGGAATTGTTCGCCGAGAGAGCAGAAAGCATTATTATATCCTTGAGACAGCGGTTCCCTGGTCTCCCTCAATCAAACCTAGATATCAGCAAAATTCAAGACAACAAGGTCAGCATTTTGTAAATTCCCTTTGTTCCAGATTCGTCTGATCTTGATGATCAATGAGTATGTATACATGGCCAAGAGTTAACTTCATTGTAACGCGAATGTTTTGAACTGGTGTGTTGTTTTTAGGATGTTGGGAAGGCGATTCTGGAGAGCTATTCAAGAGTATTGGAGAGTTTGGCGTTCAATATAGTAGCACGCATCGATGATGTGCTCTATGTTGATGACTTGACAAAACATTCTGGGGATCGTTTTCCAGTGCCCATGCCACGCACTCCGTCTAGGACGTGTTTAACAACACCAACTAAAACTCCTCCGAGAGCCAAGAGATCTTCAAAGGAAGAGAAAACCCCAATCATTAGTAGCACGAGCAAGAACAACTTTCTTCCCCAGCGTGGGGGAGGGGCCAAGAGAGTTTTGACAGATTATCTTACCATTGATACCAAAGGGCAGACTCACAGGAACTCAATCTGACCAAGCATACCAAGCTGTTTGGGGGTGGTGTCCGAGTTAATTTGCTGTTAGTTTAACAAATCTATGTTTCATTCCGGTCAAGAGGTGGTAGGCCGTTCAACAATATGTGAAGAAGTTACTTGGAGAGCCTGATTTCAAAATATGAGCTTTAGCTTAAGTGGAATATGTAGTTTGTAGAATAGAAAAATTTCATGACAGAGACACCTAACTGGCTTTTCCATCTTTCGGTTGCTTTTAACTTTGAATGTATATGAATACAAGGGAAGGGCATGCGATGTAAAGCGGATGGTATCTTGCTATCTTATCTTATTCTTAAGTTAAAATTTCCTGTGATAACGGCTACGACATGCACAAAAGGAGACAAAAAAGAATGGGGCATTCCGAGAATTGAACTCGGGACCTCTCGCACCCTAAGCGAGAATCATACCACTAGACCAAATGCCCTTTGGTGTGAGGGTCGTCTGCTGTCACAAATTAATTAGTTATTTAATATCCACTTCAACTAATGTAATCCTGACTCCTTTGTGCGCCATCCCTCTCCGCACTTGGAAGCCAACTACTACCGTCTCTCTAGAAAGCAACCCCTGGATCAAAAAATTCTCAGAAATTGTCTTTGGGTAACAGGATCAGTTTAATTACATATTATAATAACACCTTTGATTTAATTTCTTTTTGTCATAATTAATGTCATGAACTAACGACCATTTGGATAAATAATTCCAATAAATGCTTAAACTAGTTGATGGTGTGAAATCATGCTCAAGCATCTTACCAAACAAATGCCTTAAGACTAAAATAACCAATTCATCATTGATTACTGTTTCTAGCAAAACATGTTATGAGAGTATGATATTGATATGCCCCGTCTTTGTTAAATGAACCGGTTTCCGTGAACCGAAACCAACATTCACATTCATATTCACATGGTGAATTGAAATGGTTTGCACACTTTCGTTTTGTGTTTCAGGTATTTGAGAGTGAGGTGGCAGGATAACAAGCTCGTTTTATTTTGTCACCGCTTAGATTAGTGGGTGATTAATGGCACCACCTCCCAGGGTCAAGAATAAAATAAAATGCTTTGTAACAAATTATTTTCAGTATTTTAGAATCAGACTCAAAAAGATTATGTGCTTGTTTGTTTTAGCTTATTTCATGAAAAAATCACTTATTTTTTTTAAAAATTATTTTATAAATTTTTATAATATTTGTTCAAGTTTTTAAAAATAATCAGAATATATAAAAAAAATTTGATTATTTTAAGAATCTACTTTAAATAACTTCTAAAAATAATTCAATGTGGTAGATGAAAAAAAGTGATTTAAAAAAACAAGATACGTGAAGATATCATAAAATTTTATATAATATAACAATAAATTATTTTTATAAAACAAAAATCATGATATCATAAAATTTAAAAATAACTAATTAATAATCACTTTTTTATTATTGTAACCAAACATAAAATAATTTTTTATTTTTATAGAATCTCTACAAAATAAATTTCTCTTTATAAAATCTCTAAATTATCTAAAAATTATTTATTTTTTTATCTTAAACAAGCGGGCACTGTAACTCCTAATATAATTATTTTCGCTTGACAGTAGAGAAGGATCCAAGGACCAAGAAGGGGTGCTTCCTCCCCCCCCCCCCCCAACTTAAATGCTCCTTTGATAAAAATTATAAATTTTGCTTGTAACAGATTTTAAAAATGGATTTTAACCCCCACTCAATGTTTTATTTTCAATATTTAACCCCCCATTCATCAGCTTTTAGAACCATCCATGGCTGAGAGATTGATAATAAGATGGATTGAGTGCAAAGTGAATTTTAATTAAAACATTAACTTGTTGAGACAAGTATTGTCTCATTGATAATTTTAGAAGATCAAGATTCACCTATCAAAGAGAATTATTATAAATATAATTTTTAACTCCCATAATTATAATGACATTATTACAGCTACGTCATTTGAATGACAAAGAGAGAAAATGGCATGTCTTCCTATATTTTAAAAAATTCACCTACAATCTCCCTTAGATTTAGCGTTTTTTCTCAAGAAATATGTAACATCAGTTAAATAGGCATATATGTGTATATGTTCTTTTCGGGTGAACAAATGGAGAACTAAGTCTCTCAAGTAAAGGAAAACAAAAAAATACAAACTCAGAAAAAACTAACTAGCTACCCTGCGTGGTTGACAAGTATTAATTTCATCAAATTTTATCAGACACCATATAGTTTGATGATAAAGCAAAGAAGGTAAGGAAAAAGAAACAATGGCAAAAGGCAAAGAAGCAACATTGAGTTCATACTTAAATAATAATAACAGCAAAGTATAGTGGGGCAATAAGAAAATCTATCATTTCCCATAGTGCAATGTCCATTAATCCCAGATGGATGACTAGACCAACCACTTTCTAAGTCCAATCCGGGCTATAACATTCCCTTCAAAGCCAAAGCATTCTTCAGTTCTGAGACAGTGAAGAAGAATAACTAGAAGTTCACTTGTGAGAGAAGCATATTCAGAAAATCCAGAAATGGAGGCTCCATTGAAATTCCTGTGCATTCTTGGGATGCTAGTAGTGTTTGTGAGCATTGGAGGGTTTGAGAGAGTTGAGGGTGCAGGGGAATGTGGGAGGTCTACCACACCAGATAATGAGGCTCTCAAGCTTGCTCCTTGCGCTGCAGCATCTCAAGATGCAAGTGCTAGTGTCTCTCAAAGCTGCTGCGCTCAGGTCAAGAAAATTGGGCAGAACCCTGGCTGCCTCTGCGCTGTTCTGCTCTCCAACACCGCCAAAAGCGCTGGAGTCAAGCCGCAGATCGCCATCACCATCCCCAAGCGCTGCAACTTGGCTAACCGACCTGTTGGCTACAAGTGTGGACGTAAGTATTGGTTATGTATGTTCATGTGTCAAGTCCAAAATTCAACTTAATTAACTCATGCCCATCACTAAGTAGCTACTTTGCTAGTATCAGTTTGTGTCATCAATTCATTTCTAATATAAAAGTTGCTGATTTTTGCAGCCTACACACTTCCTTGAGAGAGACGCAGAGAACAAGGAGGACAAGGCTTAAAGAGAACAATAGCTGTTAGCTATAACTGACAATAATCGTGCTGTATTCTCTTGTAACTTTAATAAGAGCTAGCAGCTTTTCTGTGTCCATCCTTTCAAACACGACATTCTAGTTTTCAGTGTCTCTGGTGTTGTTTTCAATAGCCCAATCCTTGTAAGTTGGATTAATCCCTTCTCTGTGTTTCAAAAAAATAAATATGAGTATCTACTTCTTACCTTTAACTGATCCCAAGAAATTGACTCATCATCACAATTTTGAATTCCAATTATGCTAATTACACAAAAGATTACAACTTTTATGTGATTATCTAATCTCAACATGAATAGTATGCTTTGGACCAAACAAAGACGGACAAAAATAAAACGGATAGTAGGTTGAGATGCGCAAAATCTCTCTCAAACAACAAACCTCAATAACCAAATAACCTTTTTTTATTGGGAGGAAGGAGACACTGACAATTCGTAATGACATTGTAAGTAAGATGTGATGGAAAGAAACTAAGCCTACATGTGGGATTAACACCTTTGTCAAGAACAAACTGTATTTAACACTATACTCAAAAGAGAAACAAAATGGATCTTCTTTAAAGACCAGACACAGCAACAGCCAGAGGTCTCTCTCTGTCCCACAATTAATGTGTAAGTACAGACATATTTTGATCATGGAGGAAACAGGGATAAGGAATATTGAATGAACAAGTTCAGCAACAAACTGCTGGAAGTTTTGCCTGTTGGAAGACACCTTTCTTTCTTTGGCCTGACAGGACCACACCTGTTCACGATGGGTGCTTTTAACTTGACAATCCCTTTTCTTCTAGACTATGCAGTAAAAAGATGGTTCAAGAACTATTGTGGTATAGCAAAGTTTAACAAATATATAAAATGTTTCCGGAGAGGCTTATAATGATTTATCAAAGTTCAGAATTCTGCTGCTCCAATGTCTGACTCTTATATTCGGCAGTACTGAAAATCAATAGATCATCACTTCAAACTCAAGAACAAAGGGCAAAATACGTATATATCATACTTTGTGTACGGAACACAGGCTGAACATAATGCGAGATCTTTGTATTTGATCGCAGGCTGCTTGCATAATATAATCCTGTTATTCAAAATTAGCATTCTTTTCCTTTTATTAATTTATTTGACTACCTATATTCATATAACAATAAATAAGCAAGTATTTCAGCGCACATTTTGGTGGAACCTAATATTTGTTCAAATATATTCCTCACTTTTCTATCTTAGAAAAATGAACAATCATATCAGAAATAACCAAAACACATCGACCATGTGTTTAAGATTGGTATAAAACATGACTTAAAATTTGAAGTTCTATATATATAGACTTGATCTCTTCAGATATAAACCAATTAAGTTGCGTCTTGATTTACACGATTTATATTCTACATATACGGACTCATGAACAGTTAATGGTTACACCAATAATTCTTTAATCTAACCACTCCCTTGAAATAATTTCCAGAGGCATTCCATGCGAAAAGAAATAAATTCACGTACCATACGAGTTTAATTTTGCTTCTCTATACTAATACGATAAAATTACATGTACTGACTCCTGGCCTCCTTAACAGATGTAAGAACTAGATTGGCAAGGCTGAAATCTTTGTTCTTGATCCTGATAGACGGAACCCATATTCTTGTTTGCTGTTTCATGTGCAAAAAGAAACAACCTTGATGGACAGTGAGGTGGCAGGAAAAGAAGCTCTTTTTGTTAGCATACTGCGAGTAATGGCAACACCTGGAAGGCTCAAATCCAAAAAGAAACGCTCTAGCAAGGATTTCACCAACTTTGATTAGACAGTAGACAGAGCAACAACATTGCTTTCATACTTTAACACCATAATCCTAGTAGCAAAGTGAAGTGGTACAATAAGAAAACCCATCATTTGTCCTAGTGCAACCTCCATTAATCCCAGGTGGGTCCCTAGACCAACCACACTTGTGAAGTCGAATTTGGGCTATAAATACCCCATCACAGCCAAAACGTTCCTGCATCAAGAGATAGTGAAGAAGTAGGAGTTGTTCACTTCACTCACAGAGATCACATATTCAGGAAAATGGAGGCTCCTATGAAGTTCCTGTGCATTGTTGGGATGGTGGCATTGTTTGTAAGTGTTGGAGTGATAGAGAGAGTTGTGGGTGCAGGAGAATGTGGGGGGTCTACCACACCAGATAATGAGGCTCTCAATCTTGCTCCTTGTGCTACAGCAGCTCAAGATGAAAGTGCCAGGGTCCCTCGGAGTTGCTGTGCTCAGGTCAAGAAAATTGGGCAGAACCCTGGCTGCCTCTGCGCTGTTCTGCTCTCTGACACAGCCAAAAGCTCCGGAGTCAATCCACAGATTGCCCTTACCATTCCCAAGCGCTGCAACTTTGTTAATCGCCCAGTCGGTTACAAGTGTGGACGTAAGTACCTATCAGATCAATACATGATGATAAAACAGAATGCTTTGGAACTGTAGAATCACTGCATCATTATTATTCATTTTACTATTTTCATACTGCGCATGCATTTCAACACCCATGTGCATTGCACCAGGGTCCTCCTGTGGTTTTATTGTAAATTCAGTTTTGTATTTATGCAAGTAAACTAGGCCAAGTCAGACTGGACAACAGATCAAAATCCAAAATTCCATTATCCAAGTCATAGATAAATCCCATGGCAAAGTTTGTTTTCTTGTTGATTCATTTCTGATATAAAATTTCTGACTTTTGCAGCTTACACTCTGCCTTAAGGGACAAGACGAGAACGAGGAGGACTGGGCTTAAAGACAACATTAATAGCTGCTAGCAATTACTTTGACAATAACTATGTTTTATTGTCTTGTAGATTATAGTCAATAAGAGCTGGCATGTCATTTGTGTCCATCCTTTATAAATCATATAATTCTAGTTATATAATCTAATGATTTATGGCTACCTTTATTTTACTTGAACTGGCTCAAAAGGATTTGGTTAAATGGTAGAGACGAGGTCTGATGTGCGGCAAAACATGCTATCACATTCAGATCCTAGCCGTGGCAAGTTTAAGGTTAGACCCCATGTAATTTCAAGAAGTTCGTTCATAAAGTTTAAAAATCTAAGGAGGATTGCATGTCAATGACCTGATAAAGGTAACTTAGAAACCCGAGATTGTTTAGATGGCCACAAACTAACTCAAACACAAGCTAATCACAATACCCAAAAAAAAAAAAAATCCCCTTAATGAATACAATTAGAAGGAAAATTGGAATACTCAAGTTATATAGTAACCAGGATATGTTACACAATTACGAAGCCAGTACGTGGCAAGCAATATCATTGTCTTTTTTTCCCCCCTCCTTTGGCCATCAAGTAATATCATTGTCAAGAACCAAGAATATTTAACACTGTACTGAAGAAACGTATAAAAGGATCTTCCTTTTCACAAGCAGACACAACGACCGACTCAGGTCTGTGTCCCACAATGGAAGGGTAAGGATTGACATGAAACAGTCCATACTGTCATATTCTGATTGGGGGATGTTGGCAGACCCTGAAAACTTAGGATAAGGGAAACTGAATGGACAAGTTGGTTAACAAACTGTTGGATAGCTTTCCAGATGACAATCAATAAATATTCTGGCGGGCCACACCTACTGAATGGTCATCTTAACTTCGTGCACTGCGTGGCGGTCTCTGGTCTTTTATATTTTGCAGTGTAGAAGAAGCTTGAAAAGCTACAACTTCTAGTTTTCCATTGTTCTCTGGAATATTTGATTGGAACAAATAAATTTTATGACTTACCTGCAATTTTAATTTTGTTCAGCTGGTTTAGCCCTAGAATTAGCAAGCGCAAGAGTTACTCCTTAGGTGAAGGGGGAAAAAACGTTACACTAATGTCCTTTGATAAAGTAGATAAAGGAATCAACAACCAAAAAAAATATATATATATATTTTTGGAGGCCAAGTTTTAACGAAAGATAAATTGGTCTAATAGAATAGGGTCGAAATCGGTCATAATAGGCTTGGTTTAATTTCTTGTTTTTTTTTTTTTAAAGACGTAGCAGTAATTCCTTCACCGCCACATCAACCACCATCAGTGCTGAGCAACAATGACTCAAATCATCAAGAAAGGTTCAATATTTTGAGAAAAATAAAGAGATGGTTAATTAAAGAGATTTCTAGTAAAGTGTAGTTTTCCTCTCTGATTTTTTTTTTTCCTCTGCCAATTGCTGTAAAGTGTTGATTTTCAAGAAATACACGTTGTACCGCTTGCTGTGACAAAAAACTACTAAGCTTAAGAAAGGTAAACAGAATCAGAAGTTCATTAAACTTCTGAACAACACAAATGTACAATTGAGGTGGGTAAGACCTCTGCCATTTGTTCATCACATCTGAATTACAGGGTAAACAGAAACCAGCACAGAGAGGATTTCTTCACTAAAGAAAATAAACAAAAGACCCAAAATATCCATAACTATCACTTCTCAAGTACAATTACAAAGTAAATGGGAAATTAGTAAATAGAGTAACCCTTATAAAGTAAGTGATTGGGAAGTCTCAGCTGTATAAGATCAGCTGATGATACATGGAGTTCACAGAATACAGAAACCTTTAAAGCTTTACAATACCAAGTGCAAGGTTGGTTGCAGTAAAGCCGATAGTAATGTGAATTTTTTCATCACAGTGTGGCTCTGTCATTTGATATAAAGCCAGTAGCCATCAGCTGCATTCTTCCTACTCTATAACTCTCTGCATTCAACAAACATAGACTAACTGCTAATTCATCTATCTTCCTATTTACCTGCAAGTTATATAATTGACAAACAACAAACACTAATCAAATTCTGACCATGAATGCAGAAAATATAACCACAGATATGTTTCTAGTGAAAAGGGATAAGATCGTCCACTATCCCTCTAGAAATTCTGGCCAACACTTTAGGCTTCTTTCGAAGTGGACAGGATGTTAAAACTTACAGGAAGCAAAATGAGCAATCTTGTAAACAAAAAGGCATTTAAAAAATCATAGTATCTGGAGTGCCATCCCATTTAGCTCAGAAAGTCAAATTTACCTTGATGAACATATAATTTGGCAAGTATGATCTTAATAATAGAGAGATCCTGTAGAAACAAAGTTACAAGAAATGAGAACAATGATAAGCTTGCCACAAAGAGAGAGAGAGAGAGATAGACAGTAAAGAATATCCAAAAGACAGAACCACATATCTATTAGAAAAGTATATACCTTGCCACCAGTTGCCTCTTGAAGCGATTCCTGAATCATCCTCCCCTCCATCTTTCTTGTTCTGTGAAAAGCAAAACATATTAGGGATATCCAATAGCAGTAAATATACATATCAGCCAAGCATCAACCCAAAGAGTAGCTGTTTATTTGCAATAGCCTGGTTTGAGTTGAACTCTATACAGGACTGAGTTAAAATGGTATTACAGTTTTACTAACATGATAATCCTCCCACTCAAGACTCTTTCTCTCACACGGGTGAAATATTTACACAAACCACGGTATTTCAAATTGCTGTCATGGCATTCATGTCCATGTCAATCAATATCCATCCATGCTCAGACTTCAATATAGTTAGGCATCAGTGCATCACTTTCATTCACAAGGTTAACAACCTATAGGACATAGCACCATGAATAATTTTTACATTAATACGTCTCTAATCTAATCATGCTCTTGAAATCAAGGTAATCAAAGGGAAAAAATGCCCTCAAGTTGAGTAGAACGAGACACCAAAAAAAGAATGAACAAAAAAGGAAATAAATGCAGTAGCCGTTGCAAACCAAGCCATTAACGAAATTCACTAAATAACCAAAAGAAAAATAAAAAATACCTCACAGAAATTGGAAAACAACCTGAGAGCCATCAAATTAATACTTGAAACCATCAAACTTATGTCCATACTTAGCTTTATTTTCTCCTCTCTTGAGTTTTATAGTTTCCTACTTGACCTGGCCCCTGTTTTCATTTTTTTGGATTGGGCTTTTAAGTTGACCTTTCTCTTATTGCTTTCAAAACATAACGACACATAAGGCGCATGCTTGAAACAATGAAAAAGGCGCTAAACGTGATCCCATTTTCGAGCCTGATTCTCGCAACGATTAGAAGTTGGAACCACGGAAAAGGTGCCAAATGTGCTGGCCTTTTGGCACCTAATTGAATGAATTCCCTCTCGTAGCATGGCAGACACTAGCCATTAACGATGCTTTACCTAAGCGTTTTGTATGCTTTACCTAAGCAACTATGCATCAGTCTCTGAAATGATTTCAGGAAATATATTAAAAGGAAAATAAGAGAATACACTTGCCAAAGAGTTCAATCCTGCATTTTCTGTATTTTGAGGATGATAATATACGTCCTGGCCCCCGTAAAAGATGGAAGAACTAAGGTGGCAAGGCTGAACTCTTTGTTCTTGATAGATGGAACTCATTTCCTTATTTGCTCTGCACTGAGTTTCATTATCATTCATCCTTGAGATAACATCTGTGAAAGGAAAATAATAAGGAAAAACTCGCAAATTAATCTAAAGCGCGCACTTGCAAATAGAAGGAAGCTTTCCATAGAAATGTTAAACAAGATAAGGATATAAGCACTGGGGGCAAGGAAAAACAGAGGCAAAGGGAAATCGCCAGAACTACCATGTGATTTGATCAATAATAGCCAATATAAAAATCTATGAGAGGAAAGCTTGAATCAGAGTAAACCTACCACGAGTTCCGATTTCGGAGCTCAATGAGCCGCTTGGAGTTTTCCCGTTCAATTCAGAAAGCAGAGATTCTCCCCCTAATACCTGAATTAACAAAACCAAGTAAAATTTCAGAGAAGCCAATAGTCGTGAAGTGAATTTGAAAATGTTTCAACCTAAGCCAATAGACGTGAAGTGAATTTGATGATGTTTCAACCTAAGTTTCAGATTCAAAACATCCAAAACAAGCAAATTCCAATCATAAAATAACTACCCTCTACAAATGCTCATTAACCAAAAATAGAGCTAAAGCTCCAGAAATGAGATCACTACCTTTGAAGAAGGAGAAAATATGGACCCGAAAATCCCAGAAGATGGAGACGGGTAAGACTCCTTGGACCCGAAGAGTTCACAAGTGAGTGAAGAAGAAGACGAACCCAGTTGCTTCTTTTCTCCCATTCTCTTTCGTGAAACCTCTCAAATCAAATCCCTTAACTGAATCCTATACGCAAGAATGAGATTTATAAATCCCACAAGGAAACATCAAACACCGCCTGAGGAAGTATTAAAATGAGAAAAACCCAATTAAAAATTTTTCATGGGAAACCAACAAGAAAACGAAATGGAAAAGGGAGAGACACGTGATAGGGTCGCTCACGAGACAGAGAAAGTTCTCTTGAATTGCAACGAAACCGTCGTTCCCAGCCATTTATAAGGCAGAAAAGACGGTCCCTGAAGGTAAAAGTTTGAATTTTTTTATTTTTTTTAAATTTAATTCTCACAATTATAATTGTTAATGTCTGATATTTTCTTATCGAAAAAGTTTTCCTCTTCGCCGACGAGCCCTCTCGTCTGCGAGACACCGAGAGGATGACAAACGAATTTGCTCTGTGCCTCTCTTCAGTTTTCTGTTTCCGCTCTCTTCCTTCAACCTTTAACAGATTGGCGCCACATGGGTCCCATGAGCCTTCAGCTGCGACCCACAAGCAAGTCCCCACCTTTAACTTCCAAGAGGGCCTACGCCCTAGTGGATAAGGGAACCGGTTTCTTTTTTATTCTTTCTTATTATACAATTTCTTAACATATTTTTTAAACTTCAAGATTTTGAATTTTTTATAATAATAATATTGTAAACTAATATGAAGAAGAATAACACAAAAGAATGCAAATTAGACCTTTTCCATTCATATACAATGAGACTGATGATATAAAAAAAGTTTTTTTTTTTTTGCCAAAATGGTTGTATGCTTCATATCTCATAAATTACAATTATATTTGATTCACTTGGTTATACCTCTGTCACTACTTCGTTTGTTCGTTATTTTCTTTTAAATGGATATTTTATAATTATATTATATTACAGTAGATTTAAAATTAATGATTTAGAATTTTTTTATAATAATAATAATAATATGAACTAATCAAGATTGGATTTCTTTCCTACTTGGAGAGAGAATAACATAAGAGAGATGGTAATATGGTCCTTTTTCTTTTGGACGGAAGTAGTATGATTCACTTCTCATGATTATATCTCCCTCACTTTCACTTTTCAAATCCATGTGCGTTTTTTTTTTTAATCTTCTCATAATTAAATCGTGTGTGCATTGCTAAAGAGTTATTGTTACAGCATCACAAGTTAAAATTTAAATTCTTATCAAAATATATATTCACATTTAACATCCGACTTTGTTTTAAATAAAGTTATCTTCAATAAAAAAAATACTTATAAATAATAAAAAATAGTTGCATATAAATAATAAATAAGTCATTTAATGCTATAATTTTATAGTAAAAGAGTGAATGAATAATGAAATTGGAGGTGTACATGACATTTAATTAATAAGGTTTACCAAAACCTAAAAATAAAAATCATATATGTTCATGTGAAGTATTAAAGAGAAGTGTTAAATAAGTTTTAAGTTAGAAATAAGGAAGGATTAGTGTAAGTCTTGAATAAAAAATAATAATTTAATTAGAAGTTGAAATTTAGTGTGTAAATGTAAAAATTTAACTTATAAATAGACCAAGAAAATAGTTGATAATTTAATTTATAAGTTGATTATAATTTTCTTGAAAATAATAATAGAAGCAAAAGTAATAATGGAGAAGGGGAAGGGCGAGAAGAAAGTGGGTGGTGGGTGTTTCGGTTTGAATCTAAATTTGGAGTTGCCCTTTTTGGATTCTTCTTATGGTCACGCAGGGTCCAGGCAGTGGTGTCTTTCAACAGTGGTGAAAAAAAAAAGTAGTCAGAGGATCTCATCTTATTGGCGTCATTGACCTTATCTTTTCGTCTTGTAGGACCCATCCTTCTTTTCTTTTCGTTATAAATCAGGAAAAGAACTATAATTACAAGCTCCTTTACAAATGCAACGGCCAAAATAGGAGTCTCACTCCATTTGCTCACCCTATCAACAAAATAATACAATGTTGAGATAACTTCAACTGAACTAATAAGACCAAAATCTTTGCTCTTGATTTGTGTGTGTGTGTGTGTATTGACCCACATATATAATCGATCACAGGTGATTTAATTGATTTATATGCGTTGAGATTGGTCAACTAATTTCATTATGATGTACTACTTCATTTGGCCCTGCTTAAAAATTCTATTAGTTGGTTTTTAATTAAAAAAACCCTTATAAAAATTAATGAAACATTAATAATGCATCTTCAAAAATGCAATTATCTCTTCCACTCTTAGGTTAAATAATTTTCTTAGTTCGATTGAATTTTAGAATGTTGTAAAAATCTATAACATTTAACTAATTTCTTTGATCTCAGAAAGGTGTTCTTCCGTCCTTTTTTTTTTTTAAGAAAAAAAGAGTTTTGTTTGGATATTCATGAATACCATGAAAGCGGTTGATGTCCTAAAATTTTTTACCATTATATTTCAATTATACTCTCAGTTAAATGCCTTTCTTTTCTCTTTTTTGGTGAGAAAAATGTTCTTTTATTATTTCTAACTTTTTAATAGAACATATATTTCCCAGAACTCCAAACAGACTCATGTGAAAGGAGGACAATGTGCTTCTCAAATGGTCTCTTACAAAGAGGACTAGGCGGAGTATGTGTTTAGGCTATTGTCTTTGAATAGTAGAGATGCAGAAAAATAATACTTAACTTTCTGAAAATTAAAAGTAACTCAATTATCAAAGAACAAGGATTTTAATGCGAATGACAGGGCAAGACCGTCATTGTATTTTGGATAAGAACGCTAAATTTTTTTTGGCCGAAGATAAGAACGCTAATTGGGTTTATTAGTGATTGGCCACAGAATGATCTGAAAGGAACTATGACGATAAGTGCTATTCGACATCCCGGTTCAGATATTTATTCAATTATGGTAAGATAAGGACCAATATGATCACTTCTATATCTATCTGGTTTAAAATATAAAATATACATTTTTATCATTTTTCAATATAATTCCATGTTAAACAATGTATTGTGATTTGTTTGTGTGGTCGGCATCGTTTTATTATAAAGTTTGTAAACTAATTGTCAATCAGTGACGTGATAATTAAAGAGAGTGGATAAGCAAGGATTATATTACTATTACAGTATTACTAGTGATCGGGAGAGGGCAATGGGGGGACCACCACACAAGAATGCGGCGAGCGGAGTTGTCGAGGCACTGCAAGTGGTCTCAACTCAACAACTGTCCATGCCTTTTACTCAAAATAAGTGAGTTGGATCTGAAAATTTACTAGAACCTGCCAGGACATATTTCCATCGGTGTTTTAAAAATAGAACCAAATCGGTCAGTACAATTGATTGAATTAGGATTTGATTTCCGAATTGATTTGATTGATCTCTCAAAATCGATCACAAGAAAATCAGTCAATGACTGAAAAAATCGGACGAGTTTTCTTAAAAATCAGTCTAAATTAATTAAAAATTAAAAAAATTAATTTAAAAATTAATTAAAATAAAGAACAGTTAAGAATAATTAATATTGACTCCGTTAAAAAATATAAGATATTTTTTTAAAGGATAAATGTTAAAAAATATAAGACATTTTTAATCTTTTAATGTATAATTATTAATGTTTTCTTAAAAGTGCCCCTATTAAATAAATTACTTTATATTTATTTTAGGGTAAAATATCTTATTAAATAGGTATAAATATGAAAATATAAGATTAGTTTAAAAAAAGTAACTATTCTATTGAAAGGTGAGATTTAATTAAAAATACCTTATATTTTTAAAAGGATGGAGTATCAATCACGTATTCATCAACAATATATCAATTTACCAAGCATTTATTAATTTTTTTGAAAAATATAAATATTTGCATATATTTTTTATTTAATTATGATATATAAATTAAAAATATATTAATTTAATATTAATTGATTCAATCACAATTGAATCAATGAATCGTGAATCAATAACTAGTTCAGTTTAATAATCAATTTTATTTTTAAAATCTTAATTCCCATGTTTAAAAAATGAGAATATATATATATATATATATATATGGATTGTGTGCGAACGACTTGCCATGTATTTTGAACTCATGACTTCACTCATTATGGGAGCACCCTTAGTGTGTATCAGCACTCCTTAAATGATTTAAATAGTCTAAATTTAAGTACTTTTTATTTTTTAAAATAAAAAAAATATGAAACTTAATCATACAGTATTACAGTGAAGTAACTGGAAAAATTGATTCACTTAGTATGTGTTTGTAGGCGCAGAGAATTATGAAGCAACCAAGGTTAAGAAGGAAAAAACAAATCAAGTATACAGTATTATAGTGAAGTAACTGGAAAAATTGATTCAGCTTTCATTTGATCTATTAAAAATAATTTATGAAAAATATTAAATTAGAGAAATAAGAAAGACTGAGGTCCTATATTTAAGAAAAAAACAAATTGTTCAAGTAGAATTTATATTTATAATTGGATGGAGTATTTATTATTTATTATAAAATATGGATAGTGATATTTATGCCATGTAGGGGGGATGGGTACAGCTACAGAGTCAACTAGCTTTTAACTTCAGGAGTATAAAGAAATTAATAAGCTTTTTCCCGTTTAAAATCTTTATAATATTTCTTTCCAATCATATCATACACAATTTTTTTGCAAATAATCTAAATATATTTCATAATCAATGTGTAATATAAAATTTATAGAAAGATGTATTATCTGTACACGATGAATATTTTTTTTCATACAATACATGTAAGCGCACCTGTAGTTGTCCTCTAAAATTTATTGGCCTCGTATTAAAGTTGACTATATAATTTTTTTCCATCTCGTTCATACCAATTTAGAGTTAAATAAATCTTTTTTTTAATTGCATCAATGTATCAATTAATTTATTCAAATTAAAACTAGTGTGTGAACAATTTTGGAGCAAATCAAGTTAAGGTTTGAACTATCGCTGAAAGATGAGCTTACATTTAGTATTTGATTATGTTTTGAATAGGTTACATCTGTGAACAATTAAAAAAATAAATTGAAACTAGTGTGTGAAGAAACCAAATCAACAAAAAAGTTGAAGGTAATCCCAGTTTTAACTAAGTGGTGTTCATTATTTTAGATCACATTCATAAGATACACACATACATATACATGTGCACGCGCGCCATAAAATAAATATAGATGCGGTTAATAAAAGTAGAATATATAAAAAGTTCGTAATCTTTCTCATCTCTGTTTGGATTTCTTTTTCGTATTATAAATCTGAAGCAATCCTCTAAATTTACAGCCTTTTCACCTACCAGATTCTATTTTGTGTTAGTAAAAATTACAAAACACTAAAAAACTATTAACGAAATAACATCATAATATTCTGCTGGGAAAAGAAAAAATAATATCATAAAAAGAAGAAAAAAATAAATCAT